AGCTGGCCCGCGGGCTGGTGCGGGGCGCCGACCGCATGTCCCCGTTCACCAGCAAGCGCGGCCCCCGGAGCTACAACAAGGGCCGGGGGGCCAAGAAGCTGGGGGTGCTCACCTCCAACAAGAAGTTCATCCTCATCAAGGAGATGGTGCCCCAGTTCGTCGTGCCCGACCTGGAGGGCTTCAAGCTCAAGCCCTACGTCTCGTACCGCGCCCCCGAGGGCTCCGAGCCGCCTATGACGGCCAAGCAGCTCTTCACCGAGGTGGTGGCTCCTCGCATCGAGAAGGACGTGAAGGCAGGCGCCTTCGACCCCAGCAACCTGGAGAAGTACGGCTTCGAGCCGACGCAGGGGGGCAAGCCCTTCCAGCCCCTCCCCACAAACGCCACGCAAAGTGGTCCCCGGCGCGCTGGGAAGAGCATCGCCAGGGCGAGACGCAACCTGCGCCAGCAAACACGGGACAGTTTCTGTCACTGGCTATTAAAAACAAATCCTTCCACTTTGTGTTTCTGCGATGTCTGATTTAAATTGCTGTGGGGAACGTGGGGGTTCGTTTCCCACCCCTAAGCAAAGCGTTACGTGTGTCTCGCACCCTGTGTGCGGTTGTGCCGTGGAAGCATGCGGGTGTCTGCTCTTGGCTGAGAGCCGATTGACCAGGCACTGATAACTAGCAGGAGACAGTTTCTGCCCAGGCTGCTGAAACATCATTCCTTCCGGGAAGGAATTCCTGTCTTCGGGAACAAGAGAGGATGAGTCTGGAGTTGCTTGGCCGTGGGGAGCTGGCCACTGCAGCCAAAGGGGGACTGCTTCTGTGGATTGACCCCCCCCGTCACTGAACCAGGAGTGAACCTCCAACGGGCAGCACCCCGGCCCTGCGCTGTCTCCTGAGAGACCTATAGCTTATATCGACTGCCACACTTATTCCCGACTTTCCCAAGCCTTAAAACTCCTCTCTCTTTTAGAGTAAATCCAGATGCAGTGAATAGGCAGATTTAATGTCTGTTCCTTAGCAGCGTGGCTGCTTGAAGTTACAAAGTAACTGTTTAAATTTGAAATGTATCCCACCAATTGTTATTTTTGGGCACATACTCCTAGAAGAGCACTGTCCTGCTGTTCATCAAACTAAATGGGTACAAGTGACGTTTCCATAGACAATGTGCAGCTGTTTAAAGTAGAAACTGCTAAATTCCACATGTTGTAAGTCATTGGAGATAACCTGTTTTCTCTGACACACAAGTGCAGGGTCTCTGACAAAACAATTCTCCTGTGAGACAGTTCTGTGGCTGGAGAGCGTATGCAGGAGGGGGTTCACATGAGGTTTTTCTAAATACGAACTACTGCGTTAGAGAATTAATTCGCAATTAAAATGTTCACTTTTGGAGAAAGAAAGCATGTTTAGTGTGTTCTTGGTGAGCATCCAGTCTGTCATGAAGACTGACAGATGAGTTGTTAAAGCCATGTTTAAAAAAACATGTATTTTCAGGGCTGGGTAGGGCTGCGATATGGAGGGGACGCTGCGCTGGCTGCTGCTTCTTAGTGCTGCAGCCCCAAAGCTCCACAGATGAAGGAATTGGGAGCTCATGGCGCAGGGGGCTCGGCCATCACCTCTGCGGTGGTTACAATGGAGCGGTTGTTTTCTGCCTTCAGCTCCGCGTGCTGTCGGCAGAGGTGCTGCTTTGCCCCTTCCCTTCAGAGGGGTCGCTTTTTGGGGTCCACCTCGTGCTCTCCTGTGGTGGGTTAGCCCTGGCTGGGGGCCAGGTGCCCACCAGAG